ATACTCTGGGGCCATGTCAATCAATATCTGGACCATCATGCCAGTGATTTTCATGTAGATACGATCTTCTCCCTCTTTAGCATCAGGCATATAAGTTTGAATGAAAGCGTTAGGCACGTCCAGCGTCATTATATCTCTACCTTCGTGTGCATCAATAACACAAGTAGTGGTGATTGCTTCTTGTGAAGCAGTTGGACTTGCTGTGTCCTCTCGCGATAACCATTCACGAGTTCCATCGCCTCGGAATACTAGGCGACCTTTAATTGTCTTTTCGAGTAACATCATCGCTGATTGGGCCTTCTTTCGCTCAGACGCGGTCATGTCTTTCACAAATTTGAGAGTAAAACAATCTCTCAGGAGCATTGGTCTCAATTCCTTATCCACAGCATCCTTTCCATCGTCACCAAACGTCTTCAGTCCTTGATTGATGTAATACTGTTGAACGAAGTTCAGACCTTCATCAGTATCAAACTTTGCCTTAATCTGCATCATACAACGAGCGATCAGAATAGCGTCGTGCTCTTCATAATCAGCTTTCATCTCATTCCCAATCTGTTGGAAACATAGATTGTGCTCTGCTTCAAGTATAGCTTTACTGTCCTTGGTACTGCGACTTCCCTATTTGGTACGAATACCAGACTTCAATTTGTCCTTTAACGGTTTCATTTCCCTCTCTTGATGCTTGCGTCTTGTCGCAACTCGATTCTTGTTCTTATTGGCAGAACTGCCACTCCTGCTCGAAGGCCATTCTCTTGGTTTCTTTGGAACTTGAGAAAGGTTCAGCCCTGACATTGTAGCTTGCGCATACGTTTGCCCAGATCAAGTGACTTTTGCTACTTGAGGCGTTTCAGGCTCAAATACAATCTCTTCTTCTGGCGGTTCTTGTAGATCCTCCAGATCAGTAATGAGGCTCCCAATATCATTGATTCCTCTATCGACATGTTCTTCCTCTTCATCGCCTTCATCACCCGAATCGTCGTCATCTCATTCATAGTCATCATCCCCTTGGAATCTGACAGTGAGTTCTGGCATATCATCGACGTCATTGTCTGCATCTGCCAAGAGCTCATTTCTTTCGGAGTCATCGATATCATCGAAATGTCCACCTAGGTTGAAATCACGTTCATCTTCATCTTCAGGTTCATAGTCCTGATCCAAGGCTTCCTCTAAGTAACCTTGTTCCGTGTCATCCACTCCTGCAATGTCTCTAAATCTCTCTCCTTATCAAAGAACTTCATGGAAGTAACACCTTTGGCAGCAGCCCAAGCTTCAACACGCTGGATTACTTGATCGGTAACAGGTAGTACGACAATCTTGGGTCAAGAAATCATCTTCTTAGTATTCAGGTTGAGCACTCGGTGCCCTGTACGTTGTCCCTTTGTAGGTTCAATGTAGATCGCTTCAATACTTTGCGGTTCCATCGAATTGTTGGAATCCGTCCAATTGCATGAACATACTGTCCAAGCTCAGCAACTATGTCACTCTTGTAGTTGATATTGACATTATCAATGAGTTGCTGCGGACTGAAATGTGAGGAAATACTGTCTTTCTGGGGAAAGACATTCAATAGCTCGGCGGCTCGACGTCCAAGACATTCAGTGATCACCTTTGGTACCACTTTGTAGGGCAATTGTGCAAGAGCTACTCTAACTCTCTCTTTCAGCGTTCGATTGTTTCGCTCAGCTGTAGGCTCGTGGTCTCCAGCTGCAGTCGGGTCAATAGTAACACCCATATCGTCTAATCACACTTGATGATCTTGACATGAAAGCCTGCCTTGTTGTAGCGGCGGAATATCTTATCCAATTGTTGTTGTGTGTAAATAGTTGAAAATTTTGTTCTGGTTCCGACCTTGTTTTGTGGACCATCCAATTGAGAATCTGTCCAAAGAATGATCAATGGTTGGTGGAAACGCCGTTGTCATAGCATGCCAAACAATTTCAACAAATTCCATGGGGTCATTGCTTGGATTGGGTTTCTCGGGAGAGGCAACAAGCAGCTGTCCTTTCAGTGCGCCATCCTCGGCGATTTTGGAAGGAGGGGGTTGCTTGTGTCCGCTCTTGGGAGGTATCAAAGCATGCCAAACGGTTTCAAACAGTTCCATGGGGTCATCGCTTGGATCATATATTATCGTCACTGCGTTACGATGTTGTTGACTTACAAAGTAGTAGCTATGGTAGACGGTAGACAGTATTGTAATCAAACGTATTCTTAAAAAGAGTGTGTTCATCGTTCATCGACAGCTTTCGTAAGCAGCCAATTTATCCTTACTACTAACAGACCGCTTACAATCGTACACGTTCGTATCAGTACGGCGCATCTCGCATCCTATAGCACAGTCACCTTTATTTGGTCCCCTCGAGCTGGATACCAAAGATGGAATTCAGTTTGATAACATGACTAGTACGTCCATTCGCCATACAAGGGATTCCAAACATCCTCAACTTGAATCGCAAATGTGTGATGGCCTCAATGCATGCTTTCAAGGCGATAAACTCCGAACCAAAAGTGCTCGCTTCTACCGTGTTCTGCCTTTTGCTGTGCCATAATATGGGAGCTCGATTGAGGAAGATCACATAACCCGTATGTGATTTTCCTGTCTTCTTGTTAGCACCGTGAGAAGCATCTACCCATGCGGTACTCCCTACGCTTTGTCCCCTTGGCTTGGGTGCGTTGTGCGGCATTTCCTCTTTTGCGTCTCGATAGTATGCCTGGAAGTCTTCTCTAGAGGACCTCAATTTGGAGTAATCCAAGTTTGGCGCC